AGATTAATTTCCTTAGAGTAGCACTCGGTTTGTGGGCCACGAAGCTCCCCTTTTGCGCCAATAATCTGGTTGCGAGTTCTGATATATTCTTGATGTAAGGTAGAACTACCCGTCTGGTGGCTTGTTCTTGCTGTGGCTGTTGTTGAGATGTCTTCTTCTTCAAGCTTCTCCTGATAAAACTCCTTGGATATCCATTCTTCTGGAACTCTGTAAAGAGATGGTTTTCCTCCTTCTTCAAAAAGAAAACAACATTGATTAAACATTGTAGACCGTATTCAACCGTTGGAAAATTCGAGAAAATATCAGTTAAACGTTGGACGTAATTGTCGCTGTGATTCACTGTCTCATGGTCAAATCACCCGCAACCTCAGACACTTGGTAATTTCCAGAGTGTATGCGTGTGCGCGAGATGAAGTTTGACGAATCTTGGACAGAATTGACTTTTGCCTGACTGCTCAAGCCTCATTTGAAACAATTCACGTCGTGTACTGAGTCCCGTCTCATGATGACAAAGGTGTCGTCCACATAGCGGATCCACAGCTTTGGGTTGATGATCGGCAGTACTACACGCTCTAGCCTTTGCATTACCGCCTCAGCAATGAATCCTGGTATTGGGGATCCCATTGGAGTTCTTTTCAGCTCTTGATATGTTTGTCCATCGAAGGTAAAGTATGTATCCATGCAAAAGTCCATGAGAAGCTTGTCCAAAACCTGCAGACAGCCCAAGACCGGTTTTGCCTTGCTTGGCGCTCACCAGCTAGGCGCGGCCAACAGAAGCCGGTTTGAGCTACAATTTAATAGAGCGTTGAGTTGATTGACGAAACTCCTTGGGTTGAAGGCGTAGCTGATACTCGTCGTATAATATACAGAGCTCACAGGGCTGAAACACTGGTATTCAGTATGCCTGCTGGCACCGCGTGTGATGAGATTCTCTGGAGAATAAAACACAGTTCAGAGGTAACAAAAACTTTCCATCCATATCCATCTTCCTTCCTTTCTGATCCATCGTAACAGTAGACGAGAACTTTTTATAATTAGTTTGTAGTGAAGGAAACTACTCACAAGTTTGCTGAAAACTGTTTGACAGCCCACGAGCGGTTTTGCCCTTCTTAGGGCTCATCAGATAGGCGCGGTCTCCCGAGTTTCGATCAACCTTATGTTCTACTTGAACCCAAATTGGACTGTTTTCGAGAAATACACTCATCTGCAAATCAATTTAGTTTTCACGAGAGACTCAACTGAATCCCTCGTTTATGATTGTAGTGACATATATTATATAGCGTTGTTTCTTATCACAGTCTGGCCGAGGCCGTAACTCTGGATAGGTTAGCAGCAAACAACTTGTGCTCAGAGTCTTTGTGTCACTTTCACATGCAACCTTCCATCAAGCAGTTCTCTCACGCTCATTCTGTCCCCTCCCTCATTTAATGTGCATAGTATCGATTTTCCATCCGAAGTGAGCAGTTAACATGAATCTTTATGTTGCAATCAAACGGCAATAAAACCTGTTTGTTACACTTTTTGGGCAGCTGGGCAGCTTCACAACCCGAAACACGTGAGCTTTTGAAATTACTTGCATTGTGCGGTCTAAGTTGTGTATGTCGAAGGCTTGGATTTGGCTTGGAACAGTTTGTCAACTGAAGCCAGCTACACCCGTTTGATTACAAACAACTGCGAAAGGTAACAAACTGCTGAAGTAGAAATAATCTTTTCGTGAGTTCGCTCGACGCCTATTTTAAGGTGAACATGTGGGTTTGATTAGGCCAATACAGGGCATGTGGTGAGCGAACTCGTTTGAACTATTGAGAGAGAATTTCGAAGGTTTTAAAGCTGCATGCACTTTTGTCAAGCTAACAGAACCATGACACAAGCAGGCCGGTGAACGGAAAACAAAACATGCTGAAGATGCAGTCATTGCTACCAGTCCCCGATGTTTACTGTTAAAGCGAATCTTTCGGTCTTTAACAACCACTGACACTAATAAAAGGGAGATACACTCAATTTTTTATACGAACCGGAGAAACATTAGCACGATAAAAATTTAATTAAACATTTTTTGGCTGTCTAGAAGTGTTATATCTGCTGATTCGTCAATCTGTGGTATCTGCCGGTGACCCGCTCCAGTGCCTAATGCCGGAGAAAAAAGACTCACAGAAGGGAACACAACCGCTATATTCCGAACAAGCGAGTAGAAGAGCGTGAGTGCGTGCGAGCGGGAGAACAAAAGTTACAACGGCCCCACGCTATTTACATTGATCCAGGCTGTTTGGTAGGCGTTAATGAACACCCGTCAACATCGATCGTGCCTCTATCAAATGCCTGAACGCAGATCACACTCAGTCGTGCTTCTGTGGCGTGCATGAACACTCATCAGCTTTTGCTGAATTGATTGAATGATTAACTGGCCTGGTCGCTTGCCGGCTTTCCTGTTGAGATTTTGGTGGAGCAGTAGGTTCCTGGCTTTCTGAGGTTACTTTTAGAAATCTGACCTTTTTGATAAGAAGAAGCACGCTATTCGTAAAGTTGCTTGGAACCCTCCAACAACCCACTTGCGGTTTCGTCTTTTTTGAAGACCACCAGGCAGGCAAGGCGCTCGTCAATCTGACGTCCTGCTTGGATAGCTGAGACAGCTCAGTTGAATTTTGAACGCACACCAAGTTACAATGGTGCTGTTTTCTCTGAGGGTTGTAATGGTTAGCTACTCACAGCGCGGCCATGGAGCGAGATAGCGCGAATGGTTAGGGCACGAGTTTACTGACTGGAAGGTTCGTGGTTCGAACCCGACCTCTGCCTCAAGACTTCCCCTGTCTAGGCTTGGGCAAACTGACGTTATCTCAGCCCTCGTGTTTCCTTCTGGTAGCATGGCATTCAGGCACCGAAAGGGTGCTATAGCTGAACGATTTTTTTACAACGCGACCGTGTCTTAGTCTCAGAGACTTTTGTTTTCCGCTCGTACAGTCTGACCTTCGGCGTTGTGAGCAGAAAATTCTTTTATAGTCACTAAGCTACCAATCAGCCTTGGGAGAAATTCCCAATTAATTGATGAGTGACAGGTGAAACACGACTACTCTGGATACGATCAGTTATTATGATTCACTGTCAGTAAATGGTTACTCCTGAAACTGCCTGACCTTAAGTGGTAAACAAAAATAGAAAGGTCGTCATTTTATTTTCGATGGAGAGGAAGCTGAAATTGGAAATATGTGGATTGTGATTGGTGATTGATAGTCACGCCAAGTTTTACTCCTGCGTACGGTAGTTCTGGATACGGATCAACAGCCGGATTGTAGATACTGTACTACTAGCCCCAGTATTACGTTTGCGACTGCAAGAAAGCCTACTCACTGGTGTCCGATGTGAAACATTTTTTGCATGAACTGCGCACAGGCTTAGCACATGCAGTGTTGTTGTGGGCACTGGAGCACACCACAGTTTTAATGTCCTGGGTAGACAACATGTCACTTTTAAAATAACTGAGCTGTACACGGAGATTCCAACAGACGGCACAAGTCTTTGCTGGTTGAACATAAAATATCAGGACCATATTTCGTCCCAGAAAGGGGATTCCACTGTGGCGGTGAATACTACTGATGACGCACGCGAGTAGTATTTTTCTCTCGTAAGGCGGTTCGCGTCTCTTGTGAGATCTATTGCGGAATTTGTGGAGTCGCTTTGGTGCATTTGTTTGCATTTGAGTAAGAGCCAATGAACATACAGGAAAGTTCAGGAAGACGCGTTCAAAGGCAAGATGGATGCATCAGTGTCAAAAGGTGCTCTTTAAATAGCGTGGGGCTCGCACGTACTCACTTGTTGCAATAAAGCTTCTGTGAGTCTCTCCAGACTAGGCGACCTTGACTGTTCTGGGCAAATGGTCGCTTGGGCATACATATTCATTACTCGGGTGATCAATACCTAGGTTCGTTGGCATCAACTGTTTGAATGGCTCACTAATTAGTTTACTAGAACCTTCCTTCTATAAGGAGATCTTGCACAGCAACATCATCACGAGAGACCTTTCTCCGAATATGTAGTTTAGATCCCCAGATAAGAAAAATCACAGCAAAGAACACTTCAAGGGCTTCTATTTGTATGATTAAGAAATGTCACGTGTATACCTTGGTTAGTCAGGTGAGCAAGTTTGACACAGATGAGATCATCTTGTCCAGAATTGATAACTTTATCGATCCTTCCCTCAAACGAGAGCTTGCCGTGTTGTTAGTCATGTGGCCATTGTCACCTGACCCCGCTAAGCCAAAGTAAACTTGATTACACTACGCGCCATAGTGCAATGGTGCTGTATGGTACCGTAAGTGTACTTAAGTAATGAATCAAGTCGAATAGCCCAATTACCAAGTTATCCCATTTATCCAGTAATTTATCCAGCATAGTTATTTACCGGCAGAGACCGTGTCTTACCGTATGAAGACGAGACGTCTGCAAACCAGCTACAAAGCCCGACGAAGAATCACCTGCCACCTGATTCACGACAAATGGCACAGTGAGACTTGTTATATTACTTTATTTAAATGAGTAGGAATGTTTGAATGAAAGTAGTAAACTGGTGAACCTCGACTTAGGTAATGTTCACCGCAAGAAATCAACCATTGGTTCCAAGAGAACGCGAATTCTCGTCCCATGCGTTATGACGATTGGTGCAGTTTGATAAATTAAAAACACGAGCCATTATACTGTTCGGTTTTTTTAATCGATGTACAAATCAAACATCACGTTGACAACAAAACAGTATCACAAAAAGTGGTGGTATCACAAAAGATTTCGAGAAAATTGCGTTGCGAGGCTGATGGAAAGTTGCACTTACACCTTATTAAGAAGAGGAAATCGAAGTTTAGTCCGTCTGTATCTGATCTGGGCATTTCGCTCGATTGTTGCACGTTTTCCCAGAAGCAGTTTGATCTCCGTCCAGCTACTCGGTTCATTGAAAATTTGATCCAGTGCAGTGGAGTGGGGACAAATTAGTTTTTCTGAAGCAAGCGGGCTAGTTAGGATTCTGTGTCTGTCCTCAGGGTTTCAAAGCTATCCAGACTTGTGTCACCGCTTTGCCTTATGGCTTGTTGCCAGTAGCCCGCAAGAAAGCTTCGGCGACGTGCGGCGTGATGTTCGGAACCAGACAACTTTTGATCTTTTGGGGTGGATTTGGGCGCAGGCAGATCTCTCCTCTTGGATTTGGACGAAGGACTTCGTTTAGTGTGCTCCCTCACACAGGGCTCCTCATTATCAATATCCGTCATATTTTCTTCGCTACTATCGAGAACTGGACCGAGGGATGGTTGGAGTATCTCAGGATTGACTGTGCTATCCCCGGTGCTCCGGAACAGATAACCTCCTGAATGATCATGATCTTTGACCGCCAGTGCAGACTTTTTGTGATATCTTGACTCTACCTTTGAGTCGACTTTTGTTTCGTTTCGATCGGAGGGGTCTTTGGACCACATTTCACCCTTGCGTGGGCTTACATCTACGACTTTCATCCACTGAAATGATTCCCGGTCGGAATTTGTACACCTCTTGTACGTTTCTCTTGCATCCCTTTGTTTCAGGTCATTTGTGTGAGAAAGTGTTGAAAAACGTTCGACCGCTGACTGGCTGCCGTAGGTGGCCGACGCGAGGTAGCACGGTTTCTGGCATAGATCTGTTTGTGATTTTGTGCAACGTTCAATATCTTTTACGGATGACTTTATGCTCTGTGGGGACCTCGAATAGCCATAGGCTAGCAGTCCAGCAGATTCAGGAGGACTATACATTTCCTGGAAACTTCGGCGAAGTTGCGAATGACGTTTGGTATCTGAGTGAAGAGTGTGGGTTGAACCCGCGCTACCATGTTTCCATTTGTGTTTGGAAACATCCACGTGCTCGAGCGAAGATGGAACACGCTTTGTGGACCAAGCTTCCGACCCAAAAGTTTTGTCAAGTTCATCGTCTGCACAATCTCTGAGATGACTTTCCGAATACTGGAACGAAGGATATTCGACATCGTGATCCAGATTGAGGAGACTTCCAGGAATCAAGGGTACGGATGACAGTACTTCTCCTTCGTCCAGTAAGGACGCGCGACGTGAGGCGGGACTGAATATCAGGTCCGGCGGGACCAGTTTTCCGGGGGTCGCGCTTGTAGCTGGAAGTGGGCTATGTGGCGCTGGCCTTTCCACCGGTTCTTTAACTTGGTAGTCTCGTTCTGTCCACAGCTGGGCCGAGTTACTGCTCAGTGCTGAATTGCGTCTGGACGAATCCGATGAGTGATAATTCGGGAGCATAAGATAGGTTTGTGTGGGAAGTTGGGATGTGTGCTCAAATGAGAGGCTCATTTCGAAACTTCTTGCTTTTCTCTCTCCATTTCTACCAGTAGTATCCTGTTGTGGATAGGGCAGTAGTTTGGTGCACAAAAATTGTTGTCTTCGATCGGGAGACAAGTTTGAGGACACGCGTTGTTCGTTTGATGCGGTCCGGGCATGTAACAGCCTGGGTGAAGCTAGAGGAGAGTGACCGTGAGAGAGTTCGGATGTTTTGTGAATGGATATGCTCCTTCCCGACTCAGTGGACTGATTGAAAAAACAACGGTTTTTCTGCGAATCTGGTGTTATACTCGTCGACTCAAGAGTTGACGCAAGAGACAGTTCCGGACCGCTAAGAAACTCACAGTAGGGGATGGGGAAAGAACCGGTTGACTGTTGCATGGATCGGCTGCAGATGATGGGCACTTGTCTTTGTAGGGTAGCTTTGCTTCTTGTGTTCTGGCGTTCTGTTGGGCTAACGGGAAGCGCACCTGTGTGCACAAGTTCCATGCTGTGCGACTGCCTGCACTGCCAAGCATCCATTGGTTTCAGATGCTTCGAATATCTTCTCTCAAAAATAGCTGATGATATGGGCTGGTTCAAGAGTTGAGATCGAACCTCAGAGGACGATTCTTCCGAGAGTTGTCCAGTCAGGGTTGACGTGAATTGCGAGCACGGACGATGAGTACAGCGTGGATGACGGCCTGTCGAACACACAACACACCGTGGTCTACCAACCACATCTGACGTCCGTAAGGCTGGTTGTGGACTGTTCCGGCACTGCGACGATCTCCTGGCCAAAAGTACCGGTATTCCACCAGAACTCAAACTATCTTGCTGTGCGGACAAAACGGTAGGTGATCGACTACCCCGTCGCGTATTGCTAAAACTGTGACTCTGTCTGAGGAATGCAAGTTTGATTATATTCGGTCGGCTCATCTCACCCAGTTGCATGGAGATTCTCGGGTCAGTTTGAAACGATTCTGATTGTCGTGGGAGGTTGTGGGAGTGAAGCGATTCTCTCGCAGACAAAGCGGGTTTCGAAATCCATCGTTCTGATGCAACTGGTATGTGAAAGTTTTCCCTCCTGTGTTGTGTACTGAATCTGCTTGCAGATGATTCCGTGGAAGTTGATGTGTGTAGCAAGGCTTTCGATCGAGTCAAAGGGTTGTCACTGTGCCTTCTGTGTATAGGATAATAGGACGTTGTAGTAAGACCCGCCTGGAGCGTGTGAAACGGACCCTCCTCTTCAACTGATTCTCCCAGCAGGCACGTTGGTCCGTTATCATTGCTGTCGACCGTCAGCGAGGGAACCATGCGTTGTACACTGTCTGTGGACGGTTGGGAGATTGGAGTTATCGTGGGGTTCATAGTAGCTCCCGAGGTTTCACGATGAATGAATGGATAGGCATTATGTTGGTCAAACGAATCACAAGCGACGGGGACATCAACGCTGTGCGGTTGTGCTGTGGCCACACCAACCTGGGATCCTTTGTAAACAGCGTCTCCACTGCTGAGGTGATAGAGCTGTGCAAGTCTCCTGGAATGGAGAAAAACTGGTGATGAATTTTAAGCTTATCTGCAAACTGGGAGAATTCCATATCAAAATGTGAAATTAGTATCTTCTGGACGGCAATAAGAAATGTCAATCGAACAAGGAAGGCATAGTATGACATTCACTTTGCTTTGGTCTATTCGAGTCTACTCTTTACTGCATTCTGGAACCTAATTTTAGGGTTGTCAGGATATACGGAACTTCTAAGAAATTGAGCTTTTGGCACAAACGCTCCAGCTGTCTGAGCACTGAGGATTCTGGAATGTGGCCGAAACAAATCAAGGACATTCTGAACCTGGTGAACAAGTTCACCTGTCACTCAGTGCCTCAAGACATGTTGTTGTTATCGTCACCGGGACGAATTACCAAGGAATGACACTAGCTGTGATTTGGCAACTAAAATAGGGATCTAGTCTAGTTTGAAGGAAGGACATTCACCTATATCCAAGCGGCCAGGTTTCCGCTTTGTCCATTCCACTAAAAACGATTGAAAATATAATAAATTCACGCTTGAATAGGGAAATGTTCGACCAAAAGTTGTCCACATCAAACTCTGAAAAAAGGACCCGAATAACTCTACACTTATTACACTGTGTTATACATCTCTTGAACCGCCCGTTACCGAGATGTATTGGGAATACTGAACAATACATCTGCTAACCGATGTCCTCGGTGTTCATGCTGTCAGTTTCTATCCGGATTGTTCAACCTAGTGGTGTGTGTGTAGGCACCTCGGACGTTTATTATAGGCTAGCCACAGGTCAACTCATTTCCCAGATTTCCCCTTTTCATTATAAAATTTTTCATGCGTTTTCCTTGTTTTTTTTTTTAGAAAAGGAGTTGCGTTTGTGAACGAGTCATGGAAGGTAGATCAGGATTCCTACCAGACTGTCACGAGACCGGTTTTGGTTGGGTGCTGACGTGTTTTATAGGAGCAAGAAGACATTGATGCATACTGAAAGTGGACCAATGTACTGGGGCTTGCTCACGAACTATTATTGTGTCGGTCTGTCAGTTGTTCACGTATGTTCTTATGCGTCAGAATCTGTGTTTATCTTTGATGAGTTCGTGGAGAACGTCCAGGAAACAATCAGAGATGTTAGCTCCACTAGCTGGATACGCTCGGGACTAGCCGTTGCCGCTTTTAGTTGTTGTGGCGAAAAGTCATCGGTCCCAAAAGTTCCTCTGGGTTGAATCTAAGCTCTCATAAATACCGCCTCAGATACTTTCGTATTTTATTTTACTGAAATGGATGGGGAATCTTTCTAAAATAATCAATATCAGGCGTAGGACAGCTGATAGATATTCGAGGTGGAGAGTCTTTCTCAGTATCTCAACTTCTGATTGGGATATACATAACAGATTGACATGCATTCGTTTGCACACAAATAGTCAGTAAGAACAAAAGGCAAAGGGTGAAAATATGGAAGAGCTGGCTTCCACACGCTCTGGAATAAATGGTCTAATCTGTTTGTCACGTGACACACAAGCGCAACTTTTGACATTCAGATAGTGGTCTTACATGAGTTGTGGGAAAGCACGGAACTTGAAAGGGAGTACCTGAAACGTACTATCAAACCTTCTGTCAATCAGATTTCGAGCAACGAATCAGCGAACATGAGGTGAGAAACTCGTTAATACCTTATCAGTTGGTGGGCGGAGGTATCGCCAAGAAGAGTATAAGAAGAAGCCAAAAAAGATGGATTGCGTTTTCGGAGTACCAGCTGTTAGTCCTCAGAAACTCAGTAGGACAGAGGAGGTGATGGGCTGTCGAAGAGTTTTCAGCGACCTTGTGAGTAGTTTCCTTTGTGAAAAAAGGTGATAGGATACATTAGGTGATGAAGTTTGTCGAGAAAATGCAAGGTCGGGTGGGAGTCGCGGTCACGGCCAGAAATTTGGATAAAGGAACACAAAACTTTGCTAGTGATAGATATCAACTCCGTTTTGTGATCAGCTTTTAGGAATATCTACCTCGATGTCCCTGAAGCAACTTATTTGGGAAGGTGAATCTCAATGGAGAATAGTAAGCTTGCTTTCCAAAAGAGTGCATTTTTTGGAGGCAACTCTGCTCTGTGCTCTTTGCCCAGGAATAAACGCATTGTAGATAAAAAATACGGATGAAGGGGATGAAAGAATTCAACTTGGAAAGAAGAATGGACTTGCGAAGCACAAAGTTAGCATGTACTATGTGGGATAACAATATCCTTCGAGCCGTACATATTACAGGACTCGATAAACGCTTTTAGGAACATATCGATTAACGATGTTTTTCCTCAAATTCACTAGTTGATTTGAAAACTGGTTAAGCAGCTCATAAGACCAAATGGTGGCATAATTTCGGACGACGGTAGGATCTAGCTAGAAAGTACGATTGTTGTATCCGCACTTAGTGAGCATTCAGTTGGAGATTCATTTATAGCTGAAAGTGAAAGTGAAACTCTTTGAAATTTGACGGTTATGACACCAAATAACGCGCTGGAAGTAAGAACCTGCGACCAGAAACAGGTCAACAGCTCTAGGTTGTTCATCGGCAGTGGAGTTGGTCTGTAACCATACAGTTTAAAACTGAAAGTGCTAAGCTGCGGTTTGGGTTAACCTTTGCGGGTGTTCTGCTGTGTTAGATGTTTTTTTTCAAAACCTAGTTCACACATACATTCCGATTTTCATCACAACCGGTCAGATGTTTTGCAATTTCGGTGTTATCTCGCATTTCCTAAATCGGTCCTGCGCTACGGGCTGTTAAACCCATCAAACCAGAACACCTGAGCATAGCACACCTGTCTGCTGCAACTGAGTTCACCACCATCATCCTCATCCTCATCATCATCATCATCACGTCATCGACACATCAGTGTTCAACACAAGTGCTCTGCTGCTGTACAACCATGATTTAGTTGAAAGCCTTATTATAAAGAAAAGAACAAAGATGGATGGGGAAGGGAATTAATGCTAGCTTGCCACAACCATTCCGAGGTGCCTACACCTCCAGACATTCACTCAGGCAATCTGGATAGAAACTGACAACAAGAAAGCCACTGACATCGGTTGGCGGCCATATCTTGTAGTGTCTCCAACCAGGCACAATGAGGATCACGCGGTCCCCATCCTGGAAGGCGAGTGGCACCGACAGCACCCAAGCGTTTCGTGATCGCCTTCATACTCCTCTGCCAAGTCAAGGGCTGGCCACCTCTCTGTTTACGCCACTCTGAATTGGGCATGGAAAACAGCACTCTCTTCGGCAAGCGATGGTTCGGCATACGTAACACATGTCCCAACCAACGCAGCCTCTGGTGCTGGACACATTCTTCAATGGAAGTACCCGTTACACAACCGAAAACACGCTTTCTAACTGCCTCGTTACGGATTCGCTGACACCAACCCACACGAGCTATGGTTCTGAGACAACGATTGTCGAACACCTGAAAACGTCCCAGTTTCGCTGCTGGAACACAGGCATACAACAACAACCGGGTTCATGAATTATAAGGTCCCTCGTACACTCTTCCTTCGGAATTTAGCCCACCGAATTGCCAATACGGCGGTTCATGTTCTATAGCCCTTCAGAGATAAAGGATTAAGCCTGAAAGAAGCGGTTCTGGAATCAACGGACTGACCTTCAATAGCCCATTTGTTCTTGGTTGAAGGGATATACGCCAAAATGACATGTCCTAATTCGGATGTAGTGAAACCGTGCTTTGATGACACACAGAAGTCTTACAAAAAGGCTACTCCATTCTTTTCTGAGTGTTGATCAGTGCTTCAGAGCAAATTCAAGTAATCGGTTTTTATCGATCAAACAGCATCTCTGATTGGATGAAATGCTTAGTTAGCAAATCAGTGAGTTTGTTGTTCACTTTCCGAATTTTTCAAAGAGAAAATGCTTGCGTTCTTTGAATTTTGCATAATTCTGGTTAAAAAATCCTGCTTTTGAGATTACGACTCCAAGTTGAATGAAACGGATGAGTGTGACACAAAATTTTAGACGCGGACCGATGCGATCCCAATGGTTGCATCATTCTCCAGTAACCTATCAAAAAAGAAACAAGACTGTTTTTCTGTGCAGAAAAAATCGATACGGCTTTTGTTTGCGAATCTAAGTAAACACGACTAGTTCAACAATTTAAATCCTGCTCGAAACGTTTGACGGAAAGCAGCTGGTTGGCGGACGATGCGCCGCACCCGTAAGCGAATTCCCCGTGAACTCAAGTCTCAAGTGGCTCAGAGGCATGAGGACATCTTCTTCAGAGAAGCACCTATTGATTCCCAATAAGAGCTACCTCCTTCTGGAGTTTTTGAAATAGACTGGTTTCACTCATCTGAAGACCACTAAATCGTTTCATACTATAAACCACTGTCGCTGTATTGTCCAACCAGTATCAACAAATATGTTATTCTACTATCTGAAACGTACCATGATCATGTACATAAGATACTACGGTAATTCATTTCTCTTATAAAAATAAATGAGCAAATACATGTTGAAAAATATAGTCAGGGTTGTATCATTTCTTTGTTTGAAACGTTGATATGATGTTGAGTCAACCAGTGTCGATCAACCGATCAGTTCCAGACACAGTTCATCAAGCATCAGGTTCGACAAATACATCTAAGCAGCTCAGAGGAAGAACAGCTCCACCGTAAAACCTGCCAGGAAGAAGCAGTTACCCGAAGAGTTAGCTGATACGTAGCCGCGTGATGTGATTTTCACAACTGACGGATGAGATGTGCTATACCTTTTTCAAATCAGGCCAGTGATCAGTCGCTGGTAATCGAGCGGTTAAGTGTTCAAACTCCTAGCTGGAAGATCCTAGGTCCGAACTTCTTGGATTTTATGAAATGTAAACTGTTGATGAGTTTGAATAGAATGAAACAGTTTTGCATTGCTTGTGGCAGCTCAGCATAAAATGACTTTACCTATGGGATGAAATTTCATTCCAGAAGGATAAGCGTCTGAAAAATGCAGTATGATCGTTTAGCTGTAGCACCCTCATGGTGCGTGGCTGCCATGCCACACGAAGGAGGCACGAGGGCTGGGATAATGCCAGTTTGCTCAAGCCTAGACAGGGGAAGTCGAGAGGCAGAGGTCGGGTTCGAACCACGGATCTTCCGGCCAGTGAATTCGCTCTCTAACCACTTGATCCATCTCGCAGTAAGATAACCATGACTTGCTCTTTTTAGATTTTTATAGCTGCTACATCGGATTTTTGCATCCGTTGATCATTGTCTGGCTATTTTTGTTGAAACGTTCAAACGGACTGTCTTGGTGAGATTTCTTGGAGTTTGATGCTCCAGGAAAACAGCAGATTTTCCGGCCATGTAGGTGAGACAAGACCATTGAAATTAGTCTGCTCGTCTTGTGTTTGCTTACCGTCCTGACTTGACAGGCTTACTTAAATCAGAATGTGAATTGAGGATGGCCGTTATGTTTGGTATGTTTTCATTTCAACACTTTTCTCCGAATGATGACGGAAATATTGCTTTCGATATCATGCAAGCATGAATCGTTGCGCTACGAAACACCAGTGGCTGCTTTTCTCGGCGTTACACACATTACAACAGACTATTTTTAGGTTACCGGACGCAGTTTGAACCCAGAATTTGGTCGCTAGTTTGAGCAGGTGATTGAAACCTATGCAGATCCTCCATTTGAGTTCTGGGAATGCTTTTAAAATCAGTTTAAATCTTGCGGCGATGAGGACCTGTGTTCACTGTCTCTGAGTAAAATTAGTTCGTACATTCGTCTAATGGATTCGTGGGGTTTATGTCAACTGACTGAAACGGAAACGGCGGTCCTTAAGTGGAAAACCGGTTTGATTTAATGTGACGTTCATCGATTTGCATGGATTTAAAGCAAATCACAACCCTGTGATGCATATATGACCTTGTGTTAGACCTTGAGATTTCTGGTGATTCTAATATTGATTTTACTATTGGACCATTGGGACATACTACTTACTAGCCTCAACGCACTTCATCACGCATCATCAGAGACACCAGGACTGGATGTGATTTTTGGGATACTAATTGGACGACACTCACGTTATCCATGTTGCGATTTCAGTATGCTCGTGGGTAGTGTATTGCAGACAGCACCGGTTATCGTTGTATAGTGGGACAAAAGCATTCTCATTCTGGTGATACGACCATTTTTACCGTCAGTACTGATTGGCTGTAGATTCTGATAACTGGTCTAGTATAACAACGTTTATCTGACCGGCTGTACTTTCTGTGGACTGACAGCGAACACTGATTTTATCAGGTTGAAAAGAAGCTATCTAACTCACCGTGACTGTTTCTGTCTCGTAATATTGACAGCCTCTTCGAGCCAGCTTTCCACATGAGCTTTGACCGAGTCTCGATCCTCGACAAGAAATGATTTCCGGACTGGGACCTTGTATACTTCTTCGCCTGTTGCCAAATCACCCGACTTCATCCGCGATGAGTAGTCTGTGGGAGGAATAAATTCAGCCTGCGAATTGGAACTATTTCGACGTGCCTTTACTCGTTTGTACTGGATGAAGTTTTGAGATTCTGATAGGGAGGAATAAAACAAACGCGAGGGTATTAGTAGCTGAAAGGAACATAAGTTCATTGTAACGGTCCATCGTTTACAAACGCGAGGGTATTAGTAGCTGAAAGGAACATAAGTTCATTGTAACGGTCCGATCGTTTACAGTTCAGTCTTCTGATATTCTAGCGAAGAAATATCAACCAAGGCGTTCAGTCTGCGGTTGGAAGGTATTGCTTCGCTCAAAATAAGGTCAATCGAGTTTCTTCCATACTTTTGCCGTGAAAGAGATGAAACAGTAAGCATACTGTCTGTTAGATAAACGGGATAAAATGTTTGATTTATTGGGACAGTGTATCCCAGTGAGTTTACCCACACAACGCCTGCCTGGCACAATTCGTCTTCAAAAACCTACTCTCCAGAGGTGTCTAGTTGGGTGGACTGATCTTGTTACCGACTGAGACAGACCTGAATTTGTTAAGTAAATGAAGCTGAGCAGGCAAAATTGCTTGGTTTAAAATGTGATTTTTGACATACAGGATGAATAATTTCCATTCAAACAACCGAAGAAACCGAAACAAGATGCAGCAGAAAAATGATTTCCCAAGGGAATGAGAGATCAAAAATGATTACAAAAGACACCGGAAGATCTAGCTGGTTAAGCCGTTTTGAGGAGTTCTCAGGAATAAAACATGCTTCTAAGGAAATTTATGGAACAGGAAGCGATTAACCAATATTTCAGTTTTCCCAGCTCTCTCCTTCAATGCTGTCTGGTAACCAAGGTTTTTGCAAAAGAAACCAACAGAATTTGAGCTACGAGCTTTCTTTAAGATAGTTAGGTTTATTGTCTGGAAGGTGGAACTTCATGAAGCTAGAATTACTGGTTAGCGCAAAGAATAAAAGTACTTTGTAATGTACTACTCATAAGGTTGCTGAAAGTCCGTCGACAGCCCACAACCGGTTTCGCCCTGTTTGGGGCTCATCAGGTAGGTGCAGTCCCCGGATTTCCGTCAACCTTATATTCTACTTGGAACCAAATTGCACGAAATTAGCGAATATACGCTCATTTGCAAACTAATTTGGTTTCTCGAGAAACTCACCCGGAACCCAGCTGAGTCTCTCGTTTGTGACGTTCTCAGGCTAATAATAAACGTTCTCGCTATTAAAAGTACTTCTCTTAACGGTGTCAGAGACAGTCATAAGTTTAAGATAAGGGTTCATCGTGAAACATTCAAGTATCACTATCTTTTGTAGTTGATACCGAAAAATAATGAGAGTACTCAAGAGCACGAAAATACGTTTTATTCGATGATGTGATTTTGAGTGATGGAGCCTGATTTATGTTAAATTTCGGCTGAAAATTGTTGTCGTGTTCGGTGATTTTCATAGTGTGGATGCGAATCTTCGGACGTTGTCTGCGTACAATAGGTTAGCACAGTGTCGTAGGGCAGTGCTGTGCTCGTGTTTTCAAGCGTTTTCTTGACTGTGGCTGGGTGACCTCTGATTGTGATTGGTCGGTCCTTTTCGTTCGGTGACTTTTTAGCTACCTAATTGGTAGGCTTCCGAATAGCAAACATGCGCTTCGATTTCTTCGTGGAATGCACAGATTGCAACCGGTATTTGAGACGTAGTCCTTTACACCCTGATTCAACAGGAGCCATTTAGACGCTTAACGCACCCGAGCAACAGAGCTGTGGAGAACAGTTAGTGGCAGGCCGTAAATTAACGAAGGAGGCTAAACGCGTGTAGTTCATACTGTACCTACATAAAACCCCGGAGAATGGAACAGTTAAGAAACGAGTGCTGTTGAATTCAAGCAACAGACAAACCTCGAACTGACCGATTGGACAAAGAAAGTTGTTAACCTTCCGGCTCACAGTCAGATTTCAGATGGTAAAACCCTTGTGGTAAAAGAACATATACTGGCATGTTCAAGAATATGAAGGATAACCGCCTGCTCAGTTTATCACAAAACGGGACAATCAGTCGTCGAAATCCTGGAACCAATGCGCTGACAGATATATCACTGCAGCCTAAAGAATATATCCCGATTCGGGGGTTTGGTGAACGGCCCGTAACCGGAAGTTCCATCCATGTGTTGGTCGTTGCAATTTCACTGTTTTTTGCAGCCTTTTCTTGGAGGAGAATATTAATTATTTGCGTGACTGAACTGAGGCAAGAAAGTTTTAGCGCTATTTGAGCCAACGAATTGCGGGAGCCCCTCTTGCGATGCACTTCGCAGATGTGATTACTGCTCAGTGGCGTGTTCTATCGTCATACTGATGACGTCCCATTGAACATCACTCAAAGGTGAACGAATTCGTCAAAGCGATTCCACAAATTCCGTAATTAACCCCACTTTCAATAGACGCAAAGCGGATTTATGGGAAAACCACACACTACTTGGATGCTTCATCAGCAGTATCCCCCAGGCAGAATAAAATCGTGTTAGTGCGCAAGCCAACAACTACTACGAGAGAGTTTATTTAAAGAGTGAAGTGGATTGCGATCAGTCGAAGGTCAAGATGGGCACAAATTCGATCTAGAAACTAGGAAAACCTTGAAGGTGGGAGCACACGACAGGTAAATGGAGTTTTCAGAAGCATAGTACTCTTTCACAATCTGAATCAACCGATATATGGAGACTAACTCAGTATACGAACTGTCACAAGCCAAGGATCACCAACTTGCTCGGACAAAGGAAATGGTACTGATCATCAACCGAACGGTTTAGGTGAAAATATTGATCGTGACACAGACAGACCTGAGGTCAATGGTAGTGAGTCAGGAAGGTTGGAACCGAACGCTATCTGGATGCCGACATACCAGAGGTTTAGTGAGTCATCCAGCAAACTGCACGAAGCATTCAGAGGCCACTTCTCATTGGGTTTGATGATATACCACACAATTATTGGCTAGACCAGCGCACTACAAGTAGTGATGCGGGGTTTCTAGCTAATCGGATAAAAAAGAAAGTCTTTCGCTGCGGAGTTGTTTATTAGAGAAACACCAACTGAACAGTTACAAACTATTGGACAGGGTAGCAAAACCCCCCATATGCATCTTGTATATCCATCTTGAATATCTATCTTCTCCTTGAACGCGACTTCCTTAATTTTCCTGGATATTCACTGACTGTTACTAAAATGCAAACAAATGCCACAAAGCGACCCCACAAAGTCTGTGATAGATCTCGCTCTTCAAGAGATGCGAGGCAGGTTTACGAGAGAAAACACTACTCGCATGCCTCATCAGTAGTATCTACCGTTACACACCTTCCCCTTTAAAGATCGTTCGCAGGCCACCGATTTTAATTTACCTCTGTCAGCAGCGGGTCTACTCGGCCACTCTTCGGGTGTATCATGCCACTTACGAAGCTACGTCTCATTTACTCTTTTCGATCCCCGACCTTCTCGAATTGTATAGACGTACCCCCGGCGATCGGTAACGTGGATTTTAATCAATCAGATATCAGTGGTCCGTTTTACACAAACGAAAGTCGACCAATCCCATTTATCGCCGGAACACCAAGATAGTGGGTCTTTCAGACCGTAGTAACTTAACATCCGACGACGTAAGCAAAGAGTGACGCAGTTTGGAGAGTAGCAAAACCCATTTTGTCCTTTGAAAGCCCGAGATTTTCCTCGAGTGACGCGACACCTTAACGATCGATTTCCGAGGGCACAAAAACATTTCCTGGGATCAAAACATTATCACCAAACGCCTACACACTGGTCAGTGTATTTAGTAAGGAGGATGTGACTTCACAGTCGGGAATGTGTAGTGAAATAGAAGTGTAGTTCTCTCACGTGCACTTGTTCGTAAGTTCACACTTTAAATCAGTTCATATCGTTATCCAAAGCAGAATTTTAAGGGGCTCCAGCTGGTGAGCACAAATCTCAGCTTTCCAAAGCTCTGGACAAAGCAGAAAGCAGTGCAGGGCATATCCCCAATCAGGGTCCCACAGAAAATCATGAGGACATATGTGATGGTAGGTTAGCTAGGTATGGATAGTCGTACCAAGCAGAATCGCCTTGTACAATGTTCCACTCAGTACCATCTCATTGGCGCACTGAAGTGTTGATCATTGGTTACATTTCTACGTCTGCTTTGGTTTTCTTGATCCCATAGCTTCCACGTTCAATCACCACTGCTGGACTATCTCTCGCCTCAACTGAGAGATTGCTGAGTGCTGGCTAGTGTACTTTAGGACCAGTACTTGTGAGCCGCTAAAAAGACAAATCACGAATTGTCATTTATATAGTAAACTCAGGTAGTTTTCTACATACTGTCTAAATCGCTATGACGGTTAAGCGTACACAAGTTGTTTACTTACGACATATCAACATCATAGAATTTTCGCCCCCCTCTGTTGTAAACCGCGCCAATGTTCATGTATGAAATCTGTTTTACAAACCATACGTTATAGGATAGGCAGGACGGGGTAGGGGACCTTCGGTTTGCTGACGTTTCACTCAAAAAGTTTGCTCGCCCAGATTGCATGAGCGATATTGTACACAAAGGTGATATATATATATATATTATATATGAATGGTGTTTTCAAAGGCGGTATCTGCCCGTAAGTTATTCGAAGCTCCAAAACGGAAGTTTCACGGCAACGAGTCCTGTTTCTCCAGGAATTCACATGTATACCATGTCATCTTTGCGANTAAAGTGTTGTAGGACAAGTGAAATTTCAGAATGTATTCGCTTTTACTAACTATTGAACATTTTGAGCTGTGTATATATCTTCGCATTCCTTCTTGTTTGATCTTCTCGAATGACGCACGCAATCGGGCTGAGAATTTGGGACTAACGACACGTTGTAATCAATCCTCTTGCATGACAATATGTGTAAGGTGTGGTTGGGGAAGCCAACAAAAACGTCATTTGTTTTTCATTCTACACATGTCAGAGGTAACGAAAGGGTGAACTGTAGAAAGGGGTTCAGTTTAATGGATGTTGTAATTTCCATTCGGATGTTGGACATCCGATCACGATGCTTTGACGTCTGCGCTGTCACTCCCCAAAACAAGCGATTTGTTTTTGAATCAATCACATGTCATGAATATGACGTTTCCATTTCAAACATATAGATATTTTTCAAATTTACGCCAGCGTTTTGATGAGTTTCCGTAAAAATAAAAAAATCAGCTAGATAGCTAAAAATGGTCCCATTGCATAAAAATCGTGTCTGTCCCTTCGGAATTTACCTAACCTAACGTAACCAGGGAGGAATCATTTGACTCTAAATTATGAGCGTTGTAAAGGGGGTATAATTTCTAATCCAGCGCACGGTCATGCCCAACCAGTGTCGTACACTTTACCACGTGAACAAATACTGTTTCCTTTCATTTTGAAGAATCTGGTTATTGAAAGCCCAATAGTTTGCATTTTTTGAGTTAACGATTGTTCCATATCAAAAGAGTATTGTTAGTTGTGTATGTCATGGGTGTACGAGGGCTGGGATACTGCCAGGGCGCCCACACCTGGACAGGACGACGAGTAAGGTCCTCAACCAAAGCATTGGGATCAAAATCCTAACCGCAAGGCAGCGGTGTTGGGCTGGAAAGTCAAGTACATTACTATCTTTAAGGAACACGTCACCGTACATTTTCCAACCTCTGGAGGGCCAGGAGACTGTGTTCGTCAGACCTCTAACCATTGACCAACCCGGTATGAGGGAATCTGTGGGTGTCGCGCGGACACTCCACAATATAGCTCAATGGCTCACCGAGGTACACAAACCACCACACCACGGTAAGGTCTAGTCTCTTCGTGACGGTCCATATCAAAAAGTAGAATGTTGCTGTAACTCCCAAAATTAAAGTATTTGTTGCCTTTTAACTCCACCTTATCTTATGGGAGAGGTCCCTTTTGATGTCTTAACCTAATGTGGCTTGATGCATTAGATATTTGCTGATCATTCAGGCTTGATGTATGTGAACACTATGTTCAATGAGTTTCTCGAAAAACCAAATTAGTTTGCAAATGAGTGTATATTCCCTAATTTCGTGCAATCTGGTTTTAAGTGGAACGTCAGGCTGGTGGAAACCCGGGGACGTTGCCTACCTGATGAGCTCCAAACAGGGCGAAACCGGTCGTGGGCTGTCTACGGGTTTTCAGCAACCTTATGAGTAGTACATTACAAAGAAACTGTATGGTTCGCCTTGGATCTCCAGTTTACTGAAATCTCACGTGTGAGTAGCACTCAGTCCTAGACCTATAAACGTATAAATAGCAGAAGGTTCTCCACCGGATGTTTTCAGTTGCTGAATTGCTTAGTACACTGAGTAAACTCGATCTGTTCCAGCTGTTCTATCCCTTAACCATACTGCTGAACGTACGACAGCACAGGTTCGACATCTAGTTCGCGTACAAGTGGCAAGGGCAGTTAGAATCATTGAACTACGAGCTTATGTTAGGATCTTCCAGCGGTGCAAGAGCTAAGCAAATAATCAAATTTCGGTGATGTACGGACTGGCACTCCGTAACTTAGTCACTCGTCCTTGACGTAACCCTTTCTTATGGGCCTCCTGTCCTGTGAACTCAGCCGCTTGTATAATCACGAAGGGGGCAAAATTCACTGTGTTGCCATGTATCCACGCGTCGTACTAATAGCTATCAGTTTTCATCTCATCAACTAGAACGGCAAAACACAGTCAGTAGATGCCGAGATCACTGAAGGCCGGTTGACGGGCTTTTCGTTCATTGGTCAGCTTAGTATTGACAGTGCAGTATGGTTTCATGTTGGAAACGCAGGGCGAAACTTTCGACGTGGGCTTGCACTCAACTTTGCCGGTCACTCACACGCAAAGGGTGCGTGTGGTTTCTCTCATAGCTTATGCATACTTTGTCAATGTGGAATGTCTTGCTGACTAAAAATGAACTGACTACGTTAACGACAGTAGTCAGTGCTAGATGGACGAATAAGAACCACCAGTTTTAACAAACATTTTATATCCCGCGTGGTGATAAAATGGTTCATGAACCGGTGTTTGTTTCACATTGACGTATGTGCTTTCCTCAACGCACCAAAGTCTCCATCATTGACTTATTCTTGGGCTCTTCAGTTTGGTGTGTGGTACATGGCCTTGAGTGTTGATTCTAGCTGCTGGCCTTGTACGACTCACATGTTGTATCTACTGTGCGAGTCTTGTCTGACTGTGCCTTGAACAGAACGGAGCATGTTGGTGTCCTTTCTTCGGTTTCTGGTCTTTACGCGTGTACTTACACACCTAAAAAAATCTTATGCACGTTGGGAACTGTTTCATCAGTCTGATGGCGCTCCTTCGAATATAATGTTTTCTGGTGATTTCCTGTGTATTCTTTTTGCATCTGTTGTTCGCCCTTTTGCATTTGTGGTCATACACTTGAGAAATGAACGAAAATGAACAGTCTGGTCAACCTCCGTTTGGGTCATTGTAAAACTTGATAGCTTTTTCCGGGTAGCTATTACGAATATGTTTCCCTTAAACTGTTTCTTTTTGGGGATGCGATCGAACGGGTAGTTATAATGCTCCTTGTACGTACCAAAGGAACAAAACTGGAACCTTATCGATATTGCCCAGTTTACTAGAAGCTGAGGTTTATGTAGCATTTGCTGGTGCTATCTGCATGTTAGGTGGTTTTTAGTTTTTGCCTCAAAAAGTACTGAAAATGTCGGAATAGTTTCGTTAGTATTTTTATTGGCCCGTTGGTTGACCTATCTTCCAATTGGTGGACTTTCGGTGAGCCACATACCAGTCGCCACATTGGGGCGTGAAAACGGCACCTGGACGTTCTGGCCACATGAGGCCGAACTGTGATGCACGTTTCAGAAGAGCTTGGTAAACAATCGGTAGTTTTTATTTGGGTTAGGTTTCGCTTTTTACACAAAAGCTTCATCAAGTGAGCACCAAAATGGCCGGGGAACCAGTCAGTAATTCTTCTTCAAACTAGATCAGTGTTGAGTGTCAATTAACAGCTCTTGTCGGCTAGTGTGGTTGCCAATATCTGTCATTGATGGGTTGGAGGAGTTTCAAATTAGTTCCGATCGCTTTTTGTTCCTTAATCTCCCACTTCAGGGTGCTTCACTTGATGATTCACCTCGGGTGCCACTGGTAGATTTTTCCCTGGTCTTTGTGGGGTTGTGAGTGCTCCGACAATTTAGTTTGAGTAGGGTTGAGTTCAAGTGGATTTCAGATGATGACCACTCTTACTTCTGATGACCCCACACAAACACGTGTCAGCTCGAGTGACCCAAGACCGTTCTCCACACGCTAGCCAGTTCCACACCTTCCATTCTGTTAATACTGGGATGCTTGGCGATTTGTACCGCTTCGGCCATCAGTCTCTGTGAGGCGGACCCTAGTTCCCGCCTCAAAACCTCAACATTTTCTAAGTCTATTTTGTGTCCCGTGTCCAGTGCGTATTCCGCGATTGCCGAGCGCTTCAGTAACGCTTGATATTCATCTGCGTTTCTCGGCGGCCTGTTTATTTTTCTACTATGCTCTCCGATTCTGGTGTGTCGTTCTTTGGCCATCTGTCCTATATAGCCCTTGGTGCAGTCGTTACACTTAATTTTGTCCTTGGTTCTGTTTGCCGGGAGGCGATCCTTCAATTGCACCAGTGCAGAGCGCAGAGTGTTCCCCCTCTGGAAAGCTACTCCTATGTTGGCCATGTTTAGAATTCTTCGAATGACTTCCGATGTCCCTGGATTATATGGTTTATATGGTTTATATATTCGCGCGTTTGCTCAAGTCGTCGAAGTGTTTGATCTGTAAAAAGAACTAAAAATTTGCCCACATATTTTTTGTGCAGTATCGCAGTGTATATTTCACTGGATATCATCGTTCAGGCGTATTTGGGGAGTCTACTACTCACACCTCTTGTCATTTCAGTCAAAACGAATGTTAGTCCCACATTTCTCAAAATCTATGCGAGTTAGAAAAGATCTTACGCAAACCGATGTGGAAGAGTCCCTAAGATGTGTTTTATCGAGCTGACTAAACGTCTGGTCATTTCGCACTGAGAAGATCCATGAATCACTAGGGGTAATTAGATGAAAAGCTCATTCTCTCATTCACTCACTCACTCAAGCTCACTTTTTCTTTAAAATTTCCATGAGGCAATGGCACCTTGGTTTTTTTCGTAAGATTTGTTCGCTCCACAACTAAAACTGTCGCACTCTTTTGCCGATGTATTCCCTCCAAACACCGGGGATGGTAAATAGGTAAGATGTGTTTGCGAAGAGTCAGCGAAGAGTCTTCGGTCTGCGGAGGACTAATATTTTTCTTCTGACTACAGAGGATGTCATTTTGAAATTCTGTGTGGGGTTTACTAATAACTTCATGACATTTCTTGAAGTTTAACCGTAAGGAGAAGACCCACAGATGCATTCTGGTAACATGTCAGACTTCTTACTTCCCAACAGTATATGAACATGTTACCGGATAGTACAAACTCCCATTTGGTAAATTGTTTCACGCGTCACGCTCTCTGGGTCATTGCTTAAGCACACGGATGAAGTAATGCATTTGCGCGACGCATTCTAAGACGTTACGGTACAATCTGTAGCGAGTTCACATCGTTTATGGATACACTTCTCTTTCCAAGTTAAATGAAGAGACCATTTTGGAACATGAGCCAGACCTGATTCAACATACTTAAAACTCCGTCCATTCATTTACTGTTTCACAGCTCTGTAGCAACGAACTATCAGTGTAACGGTGATACTACTGATGGGAGTGGCATGCGAGTAGTATGTTTTCTTGTAAATTCGCTTGAAAAGGGAAATCTATTGCGGATTTGTGGAGT